TTTGTGGACCCCTGCACTGGAAATCAAAAGGTTTCCAGTTGTATTTTGTGTCCTGGTATCAGTGCAGCAGAGGGGTGCCACAGTTTGGGTTCCAGCAATCAATTTAGACCCTTGTTTTCCACTGTAGCACCAATTTCTCCATCTCTACCCTCCCTTTCACATGCTTATTTACTGGTTCTTAGTGTTTCTTGATTTTTCTGTATTCTGATAGCAGTTGAACTTTGTGACTGAGTAGTCACATCTAGCTCTTACTTTCTGCCACTGTCAAGGTTTCCTGTGATTTCTAGTCACCTTCCCAACACTTTGAGTTGCTCTAAGTTTCAAATGCACTGTAGGATTTGGTTTGCATCTCTTATTTCGGCAGAGGTGGGGCTTGAACCTGCTGCAATTCACAGCGGGTAGCTTTGATCTCTTGGAGCAGGCATTTCTGTGAACCTGGTCCTTCTCCAACCTGCCGCTCGTCTACATGAAGAGCATGTTTTGGAAGAATTTTTGCCAAGTTTATGTGGAATTTCTCAAGACCATCATCTAGCTTATCTGCAAAATTAAATAGCAGATGTCATTTCACTGTTCCCCAAAGAATACTGGTCCAGAGTAAGTTGATAAATTTCAGCAAGGTTCTTGCAGAGCCTCTTTGCTGACAGTATTTGTAGGGAATTTCTTCTACCTCAAGTTTTGCAGAGAAGCCTCCCACCAGTACTTCTGAAATTGGATTGGACTCAGTAGGTTGTTTGGCAAACTTATGAGGAATTTGATAACATCACACAGTAGTATTTTCTGGTGATGCTGAAGGTTCTGTAAATAAAATATTCTTGAATACCATAAAGCCACTTACTTGGTGTGTATAGGGGAGCCTCTGCCCATGTAGCTGCGCCAGCATAGTCTGTTTAAGAATCCTGGGGTATGTGGATACATTTTTATATATATATATTTATTTTAAAAACAATATGTTTTGCTCAGAAATGCAGAAGTGCTTTTGACAGTGCTTCAAGAATGTGTCCTACTGTGACTATTGAACTGATTAAGCCTTCTTTCCTATGGTTTAGTGTGTCTGCAGCCCCCTAGCTTCTACAGAACTCAGTTTTCCCTTATGTTTGCTGTAATTCTACACCCACCATCAGGTTTCCCCCTTCAGTTTCCCCAGCTCCTGCCCATGCAGGTTGCTTACGTGTTGCATGTGCTGACCGGCTGGCTGTTAAAGCACAGTTCAGCATCTCGGGGGCATGGACACCTGCAGTAAGTATGCATTAAATGCATTAATGTCGTTTTATTTGAGGTACTACAGTTTCTGCTTGTATATTCCAGAAACGCGGAGGAGTGCCTGTGGAGTGGTGTACACAGTGAAGAAGCCTCGCAAGGTTGAGGAAGAAGAAACAGCAGTGCCAGCCTGCAAAAAAACGAAGACTCAAGCTTGAGGACTGAACCGATTGTCAACAGGAGCCTCCATCCCATCTGTACCCAGTGTTGAGTCTTCCCCCACCCTCCAGCCAGTCCAGTTCTTCCCTTACTACCTTATTTAGCTTGGAGAAGAACTGTTCTTCTGGTGTTCAGTTGAGGAAAGCTGTGTGGAGACTGCTGAATGGTAGTTCACCACATCTGAACAGTCATGTCGGACTTCTGGCCAAGGTCAGGAGACCACCTCTCCATCCTGGCTTAGGTCTGGAGTTGGTGCAAACTCAGCACAAGGTTTCTAACACAGGGAAATTTTTGGTTGTACAAGTGCATCCCTTTTTTATTAAAAATGTTTCTAAGAGCACATGCTTTCAAAATCTAGCTCTTACCATTTCTCAAGTTTTAAACACATCTCTACTAAACCTTACAACTACAAGCTAGTAGATGAAGTTTGCCTTCAGTAGCCTGTGAAGAATAATGGCGCAGTAAAAAAAAGCCAACATTCTGCTTCCCATTCTGTTTTGTGATCAATGGCTATAAAGAAGAGTCCAGCATCTGTCACTTGCTAAGAGAGATCTTGGATCTGTGTCACAGTAGGACTGAATGGCCTGACCTGCTAGACACACATCCCAAAGGCCATCCCTGTCCTGCAGCTCTTAAAACCAAGCTAACACGAGATAGTTACCACAGGTGGGAAGGAAGAGCTCGAGGTTACACTGAACGTGTGCTCAGCGTAGTATGTTGCAGCCATAGCATAACATCTGTCTCACCTTGGCCTGAGCAGTGTCCAGGTCACATCATTTTTACTGCATCATTTCCTTCTTTATGTCCTGGTCTGGCAGTGTTGTCTATGAGCGTGTTCATTTTGCTGCCTCCTGCCTTTCCGTTTTCCTTCCTGTTAATGCCTCAGTAAACCTAACCTGGCTGCCAAAAAAGCAACCATAACAGATTTACAATCAGCAGACCATTTTCAGAGCTCTTCCAAATGTTGACTGAAGTTTTTCTTTTGATTAAAGCAGTATAAAAATTATGTATGCCACTGTACTCTATGTACTCTTGAGCCAGCTTTCCTGTGAATATTCCAGTTCTCTATTTGCATCTGACGGCAAGTTGAGAAGTGGAAGTTGAAGCACATGAAATATAGGGGAAATCTTGTGGTGGACGTACCAGAATGAATGAAGTTCTTGATAGACAAACAGTTTTATATAATACTGGTGTAAGTCACGACTGCTTTTGCTTCCTTCAACAAATAATGACACATTTTTCCCTTATGTTGTTGTTTTACTTGTTGACTCTGTGATTTGAGTCCATTTTATTATAGTTATTTGGTGTAATGTATGTATATTGTAGTTTGTCATTTATGGACTTAACCTCCAAAATTATGCCCTAACGAGAGAAGAAGTGGAAATGTGTTTGGTGTCATTTTCTGAACGACACACTTTCTTGTCTTGGCCAGAGAATAACCTGCCTTGAGTGTGAGAGAAGTTGGTTGGTAATCAGCATATGGAAAGCATGTGGAGGCTCTTGAGTGCTAGGGATCCTTCTTGCTACCTGTTCGTCTTGACTTCAGAAGTTTGCAGTCTGCATCTTTGCCCTTTGAGTAGATACAGTGCTTCAGGAGCTGATTTAGAAGTTTCTTCTCCCTCAGTTTCCTGCATTGCGTTGTTCTGGCCTCTTTGGTGCCTGAACAACTGAACTGCTTCTTGGTTAGGATGATACAGAGTTAGCCAGCACTGATGTAATTTCTGTTTCCTGCAAGGCATGCTCACAGTGTCCGGGTAATTGTTCAGAAACAAGTAGCAAAGCAGTGGCGTGCAGAGAAGGGCAGTGAGCGGAGGTGTGCCCTAATTTTTACGGAGCAGAGTGTGTTCACAAATAAAGCCTACGACTGGCGAGACAACACTCATGAGAAAGCAGTGTCGGGCAGAGAAGGGCAGTGAGCGGAGGTTGCCCTAATTTTTACGGAGCAGAGTGTGTTCACAAATAAAGCCTACGACTGGCGAGACAACACTCATGAGTTACGGTGCTTGTGTGAGAAAAGTCTCGAACGCTGTTGGCCTCAGTCTAGGTTAGCTGGCTGCAGACAGAATAGGTGTTTCTTCTGCTTGTTCCTCTGCGAAGTTTCTGTAAAATCACTTAGTCTCCAAAACTGGCACTCCAGTAACAACTATTCATTGCTGCCCATGCCTGACCCCACCTCATTGCCTAGGACATTGCTTTGGCCAGCCTGCAAAGCCTCATGGCTAGAGGCCAAATGAAGCCAGCCAAGCTGGTGAAGGTATGTGAGAGTCTGTGGATATTTTGCTGGGAGGCCACTCTGTGGGGTGTTAGGATTTTAACTGCATACAGTGTGTAATGTCGCAGTGAAATGGGACATCGATGGCCCTGCTGGTGGCACTTTTCAAGCTGTTCTGCTAAAGCCAAGGGAGAGGTGCCTGCCTTTCCTAGCAGGACTCAGCGTCTTCCTTGGCTTGGACAACTGAAGCTGTCTCATATGCTCCTCACAGTAAGTACTGACTTGCTGAGAAACTGAGATTTTAAATCAAACTCAGCAGTAAAACTGTAACTGTTTTTTTACAACTTACCCACATACTGTCTTTCTGCGTCCTGTATGTATGTTTCCATTTAACACTGTAAGTAAGAGATGGCATTTATTGAGCAGTGGCAGGGAGGTAGCTCAAGGGCTGGCTACTCTAGGCAGCTGAGAATTTTCTGAGTTTTGAAGAATTTTACAGAGGCCAAAATGTGAACTTTCTGTAAAGAGAGACAGAATGACCCTCTGCATGCTCACCACTCCATAATCCACTGCAGCAAATAAAAAGAAGCACTCTGTTTATTTAATCTGGAACAGATCAGTACAAAATGTACAGAAAGAGCAGTACAAATTTACAAATATACATAATCTGTTTTTGCATTCTTCAGTCAGACTTTTTAGTAGTCTAGCTTAAAAAAAAAATCACATTCCTGATACTGTCTCCTCTCACCTTCGTAACATTACATCTGAATCCCAATTACGCGATGGTCGGAGCTCAACCACGATTGCCAAACCACGTATAAACCCCATTACTCAACTGCTTCTTTAAATCCACTTGGCACCTCAGTACAGCTTCATCCATTGCTCTTCAACACATCACCACTCATTTAACATCTCATTTTAATAGTGTGAATTTGGCAGAGGCAAGGCAACAGTTGCAAGTATTTGCTATTTGGAGCTATTGGAAGGCTTGAAGAAAGTTGCTAATGTGGTTGGAAGTGCTGCCATCTAAGACAAAAGGATTTATGTTGCTGGCAAAGATTGCATTAGGATGTGAAGCGCCATTAAAAAAAACCTACAATAATCTTGAGAATGGTTAAAAATTACCGTTTAAATAAATAAATAATAAATAGTAATAAATAAGGCTATTTTGGAACCAGTGGAATTGTAACACCCAACCTGCCTTCTGAAATCATTTCTTTGCGTGTTTGTTTCACAGTTTCCAGTGCAGATACCTCAAATAATGCAGCGCCGTAAATATTTTCAATAAAAGTACTGCGTTCAGGGCTATTTTCCTTCAGTTTCATATGAAGCATTTAAAAGCAGCAGAAAGAGAGCGGTCTGGTGTCTCTCTTCAGAACTTGCCTAGGTGGACACTCTTATAGGAGTTGTCTTTCAAGCTGTTGAATATCTCTTTGGTGCCATTCTGCCACTGGAGAACAAGATCCATAGGCGTCTTCCCTTGCTGTTTAAAAAAGCAGAGGAAGCAAGATTTAATTGCAGTCAGCGATTACGGAGTGCTTCATTCTTCCCTAGATGTTTGTACAGTGCATCTGCCTGATGTGAGACCCCTCTGCATGCACAGGGTCAGACTGACTCTTGCTCCCCCAAGGCCTGAGTCCTTTTGCTCTCCAGATCTAGTCCCTGCCTTGTTCAGACTCATGATGAAATCTCCATGTTCCAGTGGGTCTAAGCCATATTAGCAAATGCAGGTGTTTCTTTTGATCTAGTTTAAAATGCTCAGGAATACATTCAGATGAAACCCCAATAAGCCACTCTTCTATTTAATGGAGAATTCACATAAGAGCTTCTATCAATTTACTTAGGTTATGAACCACATCTAAATTAAACAGGAGCAACTTTTGCGTGCAGACAAAGCCTGAGAGAGTCCTTGGCCTTGGGGGCTGTACCTGTCATTGTTTTCATACCCTGATGAGGGATAATGTGAGGAGCAGCCCTGCTTCAGAGAGCTTGGGTGGAGAGTAGGGAATGCAAAGTGCTGCAGTGACTTGTTTCTTCCTTGCCCCCTTAAGTTTTGATTGATTGCCAATCAAAAAAACACTGACTGGTATTGGTAAAACCCACAGCATCCCACTGCTGCTTGGTTTGGGTTTGGGAGAAGGACAAGTGGTCACAGAGCTCCAGCAACGCTGCTGCTGCTGCTTGGGCTCACTGTGGGCTTAACAGAAAGGAGATGTCTCTGAAAAGCTGAGTTCTTTGTTGTCTCAGTGGTGTTTGAAGCCCAGGAGTTGTGCACAGAGCAAGTGTGTGTACATCATATCTTTTCGATGTATGATATGCGTAATTAAAATATAGACAGATATCATGTTGTTTTAAGTTGCAGGTGATGGGTTCTGGGTTTAGAAGACGTGCTGGTTTTTCCTTTTCTCCCTGACTGCTCCCATTATACTTTCCCTGTGTCGGCTCTACTTTAAATAAGTCTGAAGTGTTCTAATTAAGTCTGTTCGCTATAGTTTCTCCCGGCGTTGAAACCTGTGAAACTGCTCTGAAGGGAGACTTACTCTAAAGCGTTTTGAATTGCTGCATTTCTTTGCTATTACTTACGCAGTTCTTTACAGTTAGATCCGCTCCGTACAGAATCAGTAGCCTGATCATTTTGTAGCGGGTCAGACTGA